TTTGGAGAAAGAGGGCCAGGAGGGCGAAGGGGCTTGTCCAAGCTTACCCAGGGATTGTGTGGCTGAGCCAGGAGGAGCCCGACAAAGAGTGGAGCCAGCGCTCTGCCAGCGAGCACTAAGCATCCACCGCTTGGTTTTGTTTTCACAAGAGCCCAAGAGTTGGCTGTTTTTCTCTTTTGATTGTAACTGAGAAATCAAACTCAGAAAGGTTACAGAGCTTTTGCACAGTTACCCAGCAGGGGAGGAAGGAGCTGCTCTGACTGAGGAGCTCCCACCAGAGGCCTGGAGGTCTTCATCTTGGGCTCTGGCCAGACTGAACACCTTCTGGACAGTCTCCGAGACATGCCCGTGTCACCAGTCCTTTGAGGGTTCTTTTGCTCCGTTCAGATGGACATCTTAAATTGGCAAAGCTCATTTTTCCTAGTGGCCCTGATGGCATCAGTTAATGCCAGATGCCACCAGCTGATGGTGCCAGTAGCAGGTCTCTGCTGCAGATCCTCCCTGGCTGCTGCTCTCAGGAGCTCTCCAAGGATAACAACCCCGAGTGTTTATCACTTTCTGCTAAAGTAACTGCTGTGTCCACACTACTCATGATAAGGATCCAGAGTAGCTTTTCAGGACCTTCCAAGCCCACACTGCCCAAGAGAAAAGTCACGAGCAGATTTATAGGACCACCTGAGCGAGGCTTTATTTGAACCTGTGCTATAGCACAGGCAGTCAGTACACCAGAGGGGGCCCTTCCAGACTAACTTCAGGAGCGTAAGAGGATCGCTGCTCTTGTAGCCCCAGAAGGCCTGTAACTGGGATAAACTAGAGCCTGCTGATTGATCCAAACTGGCCTACACTCAGGTCTTCTAATCCTAGCCTATTTATTTATTTATTTATTTATTTATTTGTCTTTTTGAGACAGGGTCTCGCTATGCCGTTCAGGCTGGTCTTGAGCTCACTTTGTAGCCCAGGCTGGACTCGAACTCACAACGATCCTCCTGCCTCAGCTTCCCTAGTGCTGGGATTACAAGCGTGCGCCACCACGCCCAGCCCTAGCCTATTTTTTAATTTTAATTTTTTTTGTACCAGGAATCAAACTCAGGACCTCGTGCTTGCCAGGCAGGCACCGTGCCACTGAGCTATATCTCTGGCCCAATCCTAGCCTATTAAATGGTCCAAATTAAATTCTACTGCTTGGTTTAAATCTGAGCCTGCTGCAGTCAGGGTAGACATGTTCTGGAGTGGGTGGGGGCGTCCGGGACAGCTGCAGCTGTCAGGATGGCAGTGGAGCAGAACATCAGAAGACTTGGGCTGTTTGATTGACAGCCGTCCCACTTTCATGAAAAATGGCGGGGCTGAGACTGGGGGATCTTCAGAGGGGCTAGGTGCATTAACATCGGCTTACCGAGGATGGGGAGATTGGGGAGGTTGATAATGGGCCCAGATCCCTCACAAATCGCTGCTATGTTAGGGATGGTTTCCTTGCCATTTCTTCAGCGCATTGGGAGGGAGGGAGGGGCACCGTGGATGACAGCAGAGCTGTACCCCCTGTCAGAGTGTCCCAGAGAGCCTGATGGGTGGCAGGAGGACTCTGAAGCGGGCTCTCAGGCTCTCCTCAGGACTGTGAGGGAGTGGAGGGAAGTGAGGCAGTGTGGCACGACAGCCCTTGGCCAAGCCATGTCCTCCTCCAGCCTTCACATGGCAGGGGAGAGTCGGGAGCTTCTTGTCCGCCTCTCCCAGGCCGGGCCACGTGCGGTCCAGGTTGCCCGCTGACATCGTTTATGTCCTGTGCCCTCATGCTGTGGGACAGGGCTTCTGGGGACATCCCGTCCCCTGGGATGTCACCCAGCCACCTCCCTTGCATCTGTGAGCAAGTGCCAGTTTTCAGGCCTTTGTGAAGCCAGAGGAGTTACTCTGAATGGGTTTTTCTGAGAACAACTTAATTATTAAATAAGGTCAGTGTCCTCAGAGGTCCAAACTCCAGCCAAATCTCCCTGGTCCCTAAATACACGTCAGGGATAAAGTAAATGTTTAAGGAGACACAGTGGCCAATCCAGTGGCGCTAGCTGTTGAGAGTTAGAGGAGGACTGAGGTTTTTGGAGAACCCTGAAGAAGTTTAAAATATCCGGGGATATTTTAAATATCACTACTCATATTCATAATAGTGATGGCAATCATATTGAGTTGCTTAAACTTAAACTGTGCTTAAACTTAGTTCTAGAAAATTTAATTTTTGCAGCAATCTAAGAGGTAGATAATAGAAATTCCCATAAGGGAACTAAGGATCAGAGAAGGTGAGTCACTTGTCTGATGTCACACAGTGCTGTGTTATGAAATCTGGTGCCAAAGCTGGTCGTCCAAATCTGAAGTTCATCTCCTTCCCCAGTCTATGTAGTGTCAGCTTTCTGCTTTCTCCTTATCTTCCTTCCACTCCGATTCCCACCAAGTAGGGGATATAAATCATCCGAGTTCACCCGACATCCACCAACCAGGCCCTGAATGCGTGTTCCTGGCCCAGTTTTGCTCAGTCCTTACTGTGTGATCTCAGATAAATGCCTTACCAGCCAGCCCTTGGCTATTCTGCATGTCTCATGCAGAAGTTAATGGTGAGCTGAGGCCTGGCTATGAGGATGTTCTGTGGGAGCCCTGAAGGGAGGGGAGGGGTCTGAGAGGTTGTCTTCAGCTCCACCTTCTGGTAACGTCATACAAGACATTGCTATCCCTAAAAGCCCCATCCTAGGGCCCCTCCCCTGTGGAAGTGCCACTCAGTGCTTGGGTTCTGGTGACTTTGTCTAGGCTTACGGCAGAATTCATCAGCCCCACGTTCAAGACAAACACCCCCAGGTACTCGCAGCAGCCTGGGAGGCCTGGAGAGACCTGTGAAGGTGTAATGCGCTGGGCTGAGCTGTCTGGAAAGGGCAGGGCCTAGCAGCTGGGTGGACAGGCTGTTCAGGATGCCAGGATTGTCCCTGCCAGGCGCCTGCTCCCTTCCTCCTGGCGCAGGCCTGATCCTTACTGCTCCCTCCTTTCATTCACGGTCTCTTTCTATGGATTAAGGGAATGGGAACTAATTCTGAAAACAGATCTATTTAGATGGAATAGAGCCTCCAGTCTGAAGGAAATAGGGCTGGGCATGGTGGTACACGCTTGTCATTCCAGCACTTGGGAGGCTGAGGCAGGAGGATCGCTGCGAGTATGAGGCCAGCCTGGACTACAAAGTGAGTTCAAGGCCAGCCTGGATTGCATAGTGAAAGCTTACCTCAAAAAGACCAAAAACCGCCCAAAAAAACCAAAAAGAGAAAGGAAATAGGGCAGTAGGACCTTTGACACTTAATATGTTGCCTCTGGGTCTGTCTTTGAGGCCTACTATGTCATAGGTGGGGGGGGGGTGTAAGACCTGCAGAGGTGTCCATGACCTGGGGCCTCCCTGGTGCACAGCAAAGGCAGAACTGGACCTGAGGGAGTCTGAGCTGCTGGAACCCAAAGGAAATACTTCGCAGGAGAGACTCTTGCTGCCAGCTTCAGATAGGTGTTTTCCAAAGCTGTCCCGTGGGCTGCAGGAGGCAGGGCAGCAGCAGAGCGCTGGGAGCGTCCTTGTTCTACAGACAGAGAGCGGGGTCTAAATCTGGCCCCAGCACCTCCTCTCTTTCTCTATCTGTGACCTTGGATAAAAAGTTATTTCTCTGCAACAAAATGAGCATAATATTGGCTGCCCCACAGGGAGGTTTTGAAAACTGCAAAGAGGCTATAAAAAAATGAGCATAGCTGGGTGTGGATGTACATGCCAGAACTCTGGGAGGCTGAGGTGGGGCTGCAAGTTTGAGTTCAGGATAGTCAACTTAGTGCGACCCTGTCTCAAAGTAAAAAATAAAACAGGGCTAGAGATGTATCTTACTGGAAAGGCCCTGGGTTCAATCCCAAGTAGCACAATAAGCAAAAGAAAAACCCAAAAAAAAAAACCAAACTCACACACAAAAAATAAGTACTTAGCACATTTTGGCTGTCTTTACGATGCAGTTGTTACTGGGCTAGGAGTCCTTGGTCATGTAAGCTGAGTACACAAGTAGGTTCAAAAAAGCTAAACTTCTTTATTGCAGGACTTCTCAGAGCCTTTCATGTGATGTTATGCCTTGGGAATTTCCCAGAGTGGAATGCAGAGCATAGGACTGCACTTAACAGATCATAGGGACCCAGTTACTAGGCGTCTGCAGGGCACCATGAAGCTTCATATTCCTTGTTTTGTTCCCATGGCAGAATGAAAACTTTTGGGAAGGCCTTTCTGTCTCTGAGCTCTGATTCCCTCATAAAACAAGTCAGCTGCGTGAGATGCTTTCGGAGGTCTTCTCTGTCCCTGAGGTTCCGAGTTGGGAAGACATGGTTGTGGACCAGAGTGGGGGCCAGATTCCTGAGGCTGGAGCTCAGTCTCTCAGAGGAGAGGAGAGTGCCCGGCCCTGGCTCCCCCACCAGTGAGGCTGCCAGGGAGGTTCTTGTGCTCAGGGCAGAAGTGGCTCTATGACGTAGTCCATCGACAGGGGCTTCTTTCTAAACCTACCCTGTGCCAGGCGCTCTGGAGTGGCAGCAGTGGACGAGTCCTCCAGCGCTCAGTGATAAGTGATACCCCTTGCAGAGGGGTGTGACAGTCAGTTTAACTCCGGCCTCCCCACTCGCTGGGCTAGGAGAGGCCAGGGCAGGGCCGACTCAGAGGTCCTCATGCAGGAGCAGCTCGGTTGCCAGTCAGGCCAGGGCTTAGCACCGTGCTGCTCACCCAGTAAGTGCCTTCCTTGGCTCGTACTATGTAAATGATCTAGCTGGCTTTGTGGGTGATCGCAGCCCTGCTGGTGGCAGAGGCTGTGGATTCTTTATCCTGTCCATACGGAGGCTGGAGCAGAGGTGCAGGTGAAAATGGACAGAAGCTGGGCGTGGTGGCACGCACCTGTAATCCCTGTTGCGAGTTCGAGACCAGCCTGGGCTACAAAGTGAGCTCAAGGCCAGCCTGAACTGCACAGTGAGACCCTATCTTAAAAGGACAAAAAAAAAAGAAAAAAAAATTAGCATTAAAAATGGACAGAAAACCTAGATGTTGAGTCCAGAAAGCCAATGGGGAGGGCATTATTTGGTAGTGGGACAGGGCAAGATTACCAGGTTGGGTTTTCAGTGGAAACTTGAGTTCATGAATTAAGCAACAGGTACCAGGCAGGACAGTCTTGTTTGGTACTGACTGACAGCATTTGCCGCCTTGTCTTGCAAAGGGCAGCTTCATGCAGTGGTCTGGAGCACAGCTTGGGTTCAGCATGTGTCTCTCTACTTCCTGGTAAGGGAGGTGAGTGAGGTACTTAACATCTCTGTGCCTCAGTTTCCTTATCTGGAAAGTGGGAACAACGATAGTATTTGTATCACAGGATTGACATGAAGTTTATATGAGTCACTCACATATAACTATCCCGGGCTGATCAATCCCCTAATCATCTGGGCGAGGCTACAAAGAAGGACAAGAGACAGAGGCCATAATTTAGAATGCAAAGGGAACTCAGAGGGTCAGAGCTCTTATGAGGCTGAGAGCAAGAGTCTCTGAACTCTTCGCTCTTTACTGAATGCACACAGCTTTTCCAGGGAGCGTGTAGGGAGGTCCCGAGAACAGCAGAGTGGAGGGCCCTGATGCGAGCAAGGTCTAGTAAGAGACAAAGCGTTACGCCGCTGATTAATAGGAAACTTATTTTACCCTTGGCTTAGTATTTACTTCTGTAGAATTTTGTACCAGAGGCAGAGGGACCTCAGCTGAAATGCTATCTTGCCTTCTGAGACATCGCAGCGTCCCAGCTCATGGAGACCTCCACTGAGACCAGTGGCCAGTGAGAATTTTGTTTCCTCATGCCAACTGCTAGCTCGTCAGGCCAGGCACATAGGCCTAGACAGATCCAGACTTTTAATATAGAAAGCTAATTTATGGATTTGTAGCTCACTCAGGGTGGTTTCCATCAATAACGCGCTTCACGTGGGGCCTGGCAGAGCGAGTGCTGATGAGCATTGCCACTGTTTGTGTGCCTGGCTCTGCTAGACCACGGCGCTCCCGAGTGCAGGGATGGAACCCTTTCTGGCTGCACCCTCTCTTGAATCTGGCACAGGCTCAGAGGCAAAGCTGGCTCATTGTCTGCTCAATGGATGAATGTAGGAAAGGATGGGTTTTTCTTTGCTTTTTTCTACAGGGCTGGGGATGGATGCCAGGGGCCTTCACATACTAGGCAAGCGCTCTACCACTGAGCTAGGTCCCTAGCCTGCTTTAGTGTATGTTGAGATGAGATCTTGCTAGGTTGTCCAGTCTGGCCTTGATCATTTGTTCTCCTGCCTCAGCCTCTTGGGTGGCTGGAGTACAGAAAAACGTGGAGGCAGCAGTGAGGGAAAGGAAGTTGGCTTAGGGTGTGACTTTGGGGTTCCATGGGAAATGAGGGTAGGTGCAGTCTTGAGGGCCTTGAGTGCAGTGATTAGGGGGTAGATTCAATTTATTTGGAATTAGCAATCGTGGGCCGTGGGAGGAGGGGCTGCGAAGTGGGGGTGTGGCTGAGGGATAGGAGTGTTCCTATAGGATTGGTTATTGCCTGGGGACTTTTAGGGAAGAAGTTGCTTTCTGAGCTGGGCCTTGGAGGGTATGAAACGTGATCCGGATGTTAGTACATTTTTCTTTCATTCAGTAAATACTCCGCCAGCTGCTTGCTAAGTACCAGGGTTCACAAAATAATGAGACAAACTTCCTACTCTCATTAATGATTTTAATGGCCATAAGGAGTTTTATACCAAAGGACAGTCCAATGGTAGGACTCAAATAGAGAAGTTGGGGGTTCAGGGAAATCATCACAGAGGAAGTGGATTTTGAGGGATGCGTGGGAGTTTTCTGGGTAGGCAAGATGAGGGAAGTGTCTCAGGCAAAGTGTCTCACCACCTTGTGCAAGGCTACAGACACTTGAAGCAGCAGCCCCGGGGCTTTGGTGAAGCTGTGGCTGGATTTGGTTGACCAGCGTATTGTGGTTGAGCAGTAAAGCTGCAGAAGGAGCAGGGACCAGACCGTATAGGGTAACAAAGTCAGCGGGAGCCCCTGGCAACTCTGAAGAGGCTATCGATAGAGGCAGTGGGTTGGTAAGGTCATTGTCACCACCAGGTTAACAATGATAGTGGCGCAAACCTAGGGGTGGAAAGAGCCTGTCCCCACGTGGTGTGTTCGTGACAGGTTTGTGTGTTAGGGGAGATAACAGCTGGGGCTGCCGGTTGGAGCCTGAGCTGGAGAGGAAGTGGCGGAGGTAGGAGCCTTATGAATGAATGCAGTCCTCAGACATTTACCGGGCAACTGCTATGTGACATGCTAAGGGCCTAGAATACATCAGGAAACAAAGCGTTCTTGCTCTCCTAAGGCCAGAGCTGAGATCCTGTCTAGGACAATTAAAGTCAGTGTAAAGACAAAGGTATGGAGAGGAGGGAGACCGAGGCAGCCAGGCTCCCACTGCTGCTGCTGGGGACAGGGAGGACACCAGGCTCCTAAATTTGCACTGGCCTCTTTCCCAGCTCCCTTCCCAGTCTTCCAGCCGTGGCCATGGCAGCAGCCCAGAAATCCAGCCACCTACTGTCCAGCCAGTGGCACGCTGGCCAGGAGTCTCTGCAGCTCGAGCCCTTTTTCACGGTGGACCGATCCCAGGTGCCGCCCCTCTTCTGGAAGCCGTACATCTATGTGGGCTACCGGCCGCTGCATCGGACCTGGAGCTTCTACTTCCGCACGCTGTTCCAGCAGCACAACGAGGCCGTGAACGTCTGGACACACCTGCTGGCCGCGCTGGGGCTGCTGTTGCGGCTGGCCGTCTTTGTGGGGACCGTGGACTTCTGGGGAGACCCCCACGCCCTGCCCCTCTTCATCATCGTCCTTACCTCCTTTACCTATCTCTCCTTCAGCTCCCTGGCGCACCTCCTGCAGGCCAAGTCCGAGTTCTGGCATTACAGCTTCTTCTTCTTGGACTACGTGGGGGTGGCCGTGTACCAGTTTGGCAGTGCGCTGGTGCACTTCTACTATGCCATCGAGCCTGCCTGGCATGCCCAGGTGCAGGCCATTTTCCTGCCCACGGCTGCTTTTCTTGCCTGGCTTTCCTGCATCGGCTCCTGCTACAGCAAGTACACCCAGAAGCCGGGTTTGCTGGGCCGCATTTTCCAGGAGTTGCCCCAGGTGCTGGCCTATGCCCTAGACATCAGCCCCGTGGTGCACCGCATCCTGGTGTCCCCTCACCCTGCTGCAGATGACCCTGCTCTTCTCTACCACAAGTGCCAGGTGGTCTTCTTCCTGCTGGCTGCTGCCTTCTTCTCCACCGTCATGCCCGAGCGCTGGTTCCCCGGCAGCTGCCACGTCTTTGGGCAGGGCCATCAAGTTTTCCACGTCTTCCTGGTGCTGTGCACTCTGGCTCAGCTGGAAGCTGTGACGCTGGATTACGAGGCCCGGCGGCCCATCTATGAGCCTCTGCATACCCGCTGGCCCCACAATTTTTCTGGTCTCTTTTTGCTCACTGCGGGAAGCAGTGTCCTCACCGCGTTCGTTCTCAGCCAGCTGGTGCGGCGCAGGCTAGATCAGAAGACCAAGTGAGGCGGACGGCAGCTAATAGGGAGGGCGTGCAGTGGGGTCTGGGGTCCGGGCTTGGCTCCAGATAGGAACAAGGCCTGGCAAAGTTGTTTGTGTCTGACCCGCACCGACTCTGCACACAGCTCAACTTCCAGGGTGGCGCTGTCCAGGCCTTGGACTCGGGGACTGGCCAGGAGCTGCTGGACTCAACTCGGGGCCTGCCCAGCTCCTTCCCCTAGAAGAAAGAGCGAAGGCTGTGGGCCACTGTGGCCTGTCCTTTCACTGCCTTCACAAGGGTGGGGGTCAGTTTGGGTCAGGACCCAGGTTTGGGGCTTTCAGGTTGCCTGGGTAGAAGATAAAAAACATAGGCTGGAGTCAGATTTGAGCTGGAGGAAGGGGAGGCCTCAGCAGGCCACTCTACCCCCATTGCGCTGGCAGAAGGGAAAGGGCAGGCCCAAATACCTATAGGATCTTACAGTCCCTGAGCCTGGATTGCCAAGCTCCGGAGAACCCGAAAAAGTAGAAGATTGTGCCAGACAATCCCATTCAGTGCCCTGTACCCCTGCAGTCACCACCCCAGACAGTGAGCCCCCAGTCTCCTAGCTCTGGCCGGTGTCCCACACAGCTGTTCCCAGATTCTTTCCCAGTTCCCTTGTTCATGATTCAACTAATTTGTTCAGTGCTTCCTAGGCCTCTGCTCAAAGGCAGCCATTGGCTGGGCCCTGTGGATTAGTGCAGGATGACCACGCCTTTAAAGCCAGAATGAAACTGCCAAAGGGAGCACTGAGATGAGAATAATCTGTATTGCCTGGGGTTTGGGGCTGGGAAGAATGAATAGGAGTCTGCAGACAGATGGGTGTGCTAGACAGGGAGTGGGGGAAGCCTGTACAAGGGTCCAGAGGTACAGAAGGAGTTCAGTACTCCAGCGGCTGGAGCCAGGGGTGGGCTGGTCTGATATGTACTGGATACAATAAAGTGACTGTGACAACTGCTGACTCTGTTTCTTGTCCTAGAAAGAGGAACCTACCTATAATATTTGGAGAATTTTCCAGAGGAAGCTGGTGCTCCTAGGGGGTGGACACAAGTTAGAAAGAAGTGCAAAAAAATAAATAAAGAAGTGCAGTTCCTGTTTTATCTTTGCCTGGGTGTGGGTTTGCATCCTATTTTATTTTATATACGTATAGACAGATATACACATATATACATAAATAAAACTTTTTTGGTAAGGAATTGGGAGTTTTATTACTAAATAAGTTTTAAAAGTAGTTACAAGAATATGTGTAAAATATATGTATATAATCCCACTTTATAATTTGACAAGTAGTTCATTTTTTTGTTTTTCCTTCAATCAAGGCTTTTTATATGTTAACGTTTTTAGTTTGTTTTTGTTTAGTTTTTTGAGACAGGATCTTGTTATGTAGTCCAGGCTAGCCCTTTTTTTTTGTAGGTAAGGTCTCACTGGGTAGTACAAACTGGCCTTGAACTTGCTTATGTAGCCTAGGCTGGCCTCTAACTAACAAAGGTCCTCCTGTCTCAGCCTCCCAAGTGCTGGGATTACAGGTGTGCACTACCACGCCTGGCCAGGCTGGCCTTCATATGTTAATTTTTGTAATATTCCTTTTTCCATAGTACACAAGCCATATATGTACAATGAATGAAAATTACAAAATAAGGGGAAAACCCCTAAATGAATAAATATGACTTCACTGCTAAAATACTGAGGAACCTTATATATATAATATGTAATATATTAATAAATATTTTATGTGTATTAAAATATATAGTATATCAAACACACAGGCTGGGGATAGAGTGCTTGCCTAGCAAGTGCAAGGCCATAGGCTCAACCCTCAGTAGTACAATGCACACGCACACACACACACACACACACCCCCATCTGGAGATGTTGGTCAAGCTTTTGCATTTCCTTTTTTTTTGGTACTGGGAATTGAACTCAGGACCCTGCACTTGCCAGACAGGCTCTTGTGCCACTGAGCTAGATCCCTGGCTAGCCTTTGCATTTCCAAAGGGATTCCAGCATTTCAAAAGTACTTTCACAACTGTTACCTCGCTTGGGCACTGAAGACTAGTTTGTTTAAGCCACAGTCTCTCTACTAACCACGCTGACCCGAACTCCTGGGCTGAAGGATTCTTATGCCTCAGCCTCCCAAATAGCTGGGACCACAGATACATGCTACCACATTCGGTGAAAATCTGGTTCTTGACGCCCAAGTTTTCGCTTCATGTTTTCAAAATTGTCTCCCACGTGACTTCGTGGTATTATTGTTTTAATTACGAAAGTAGTTCACAAACCCTAGTGTGGTGAGGGCCCCGGCTTTGGAGTCAGGGACCTGAATCCTCTGGATGATGGCGAGGACTCATCGGTGACACAGGATCACCTTGCGCTCGGGGGTTTTATATTTACAGTAAAGCAACACAGTTAAGCAAAGCGGAAGAAATGGGCTTCCTGGCACGACGCTGAGAACCCATTCATGCCCACAACAGCGTTTCGGGATCGCCTCTCGAGGTAGGGGATCGGAAAGAACGCGAACCCGACGCACGCGCGCGAACCTGCCGCGGCATTGGGCGGGGCTCCGGGGAGGGGCGGGGCCTGCGCCTGCGGCACGGCGTGGCCCCGCCCCCCGCGTTGGCGCGCGATCCAAACGTCGGCGGAGGCGGTTGTGTGGCTTCCCTGAGGAGACCTGTGGAGCCGCTCTCCTCAGCGCCCATGAAGCGGAGCGGCGCCGAGGAGGACGCGTGCGGCGTGTGGCTGGACGCCGAGGCGCTGAAGAAGCGGAAAGTGCAGGTGGGTGCGAGTGTGAGGAGACGGGAGCGTCCGGGGACGGGGGAGGGCCCGGGGCGCGAGGCGGGAGGAGTTCGGGGCGCTGGCGGTGGCCTGGGCACAGCGGGCCGGGAGGGGGCCGCTCTGGGGACTCACTGGCGAGGGCGGCCGGGCGCTGAGGAACGTCGACGGGCTGGGATGGGAGGGAGGAGAGACGCCGGCGGAGGGGAGGAGCGGGCTTTGTACCGAGCATTGGACCCGGGCCTGCACACTGAGCTACCTCCGCAGCCCTTCTTTCATTTTTATTTATTTTCTTTTCTTTGTCTTTGAGACAGGGTCTCGCTATGCAGTTCAGGCTGGCCTTGAGCTCCCTTTGTAGCCCAGGCTGGTCTCGAACTCGCAACGATCCTCCTGCCTCAGCCTCCCGAGTGCTGGGATTACGGGCGTGTGTCACCATGCCGGGCTATCCGCCTGCTTTCATTTTTATTTAGAGACGGGGTCTCGCTGAGTTGGGCAGGCGGGGCTCAAACCTGGGATTCTTCTGCCTCGGCCTCCTAGAGTACTGGGATCGCAGGTGCGTGGCACCACCCCCAGTTTAAGCAGTTAGAGTCTGACAGATTGAGATGATTTAGGTGAAATGGGCAAATTCTTAGAGAGCCACAGGGTACTAAAAATTAACTCGAGGAGAAACAATCTAAATAGACCTCTAACAGAGTAATACTTTTAAAACTTCCTGCAAAGAAGAGCACAGGTCCAAATACTTAAAGCATTAATACTGTTCCCAAAAAAATAGAAGAGGGGAAGATACTTCCCAATTCATTCCGATGCCAGTGTTTCCCTGGTACCAAACCAGACCTAGGCATCACAAGAAAACTGTGGGCCAATATCCTTTATGAAAACGGATTTAAAAAGGATTGAGCAAAGCCGGGCGTGGTGGCGCACGCCTGTTATCCCAGCAGCTGGGAGGCTGAGGCAGGAGGGTTGCCTTGAATTTGAGGCCAGTCCGGGCTACGTAGTAAGTTCAAGACCCTGTCTCAAAAAAAAAAAAAAAAAAAAGTATTAAATAAGTTGCTAGTGGTAAAGTGCTTGCCTAGCATGCACAAAGCCCTGGGTTCTATCTTCAGCACTGCAAAAGAAAAAAACAAAACAAAATAAGAGCAAATCTAGCAATACAAAAACCTGAAACCTTGTCTCAAAAAAAGACAAAAAAAATGAGCAAGAAAAATTTCCTCAAATATTTCTCAAATGTAAGGTTTCTTTTGGGAGGGGGTTGGTTTTTTGAGACAGGGTCTCAATATGTAGTTCCAGCTGGCTTTGAACTTACTATATATATAGCCCAGGCTGGCTTCAAACTTTCAGCAACCTTTCTGCCTCAGCCTCCTTTTTTCTTTTCTTTTTTTTTGTCTTTTTGAGACAGGGTCTCCCTGTGCAGTTCAGGCCTACTGTGAGCATACTTTGTAGCCCAGGCTGGTCTCGAACTCTCAGTGATCCTCCTGCCTCAGCCTCCCGAGTGCTGGGATTATAGGTGTGTACTACCACAGCCGTCTAAGGTTGGTTTATTTTGTTTTTTTGTTTTTGTTTTGTTTGAGACAGGGTCTCGCTATGCAGTTCAGGCCAGCTTTTGAGCTCACTGTGTAGCCCAAGCTGGTCTCGAACTCACTATGATCCTCCTGCCTCAGCCTCCTGAGTGCTGGGATTACAGGCGTGAGCCACCACGCCTGGCTGTAAGGTTGGTTTAAATTTGAAGATTAAATACAATATATTAATATAGCAAAGGAAAAGAACCATGTGATCATCTCAGATATAGGGAAAAAGCATTTGACTAAAACCATTCTGAGACTGAAATATTCAGTAAGCTGGGCATGTGTATAGTTCCAGCACTCTAGGAGGCTGAAGAATGTTCTTTTTGGGGGGTAATGAAAAATGTTCTAAAATAGCATTATTAGCCAATGTTTATACTTTATGAATATACTAAAAAACCCTTAACTGGATACTTAAATGAGTGAGTTTTATGGTATGTGACATATTTCTAAGTAAAACTGAAAAGACTGCTAGGCATGGTGGTACATGCCTATAATCTTACCCTTGGGAGGCTAAGGCAGAGAATCGCTGCAAGTTTGGGGCTAGTCTGGGCTACATAGTGAGCTCAAGGCCAGACTGAACTGCATAGTGAGACCCTGGCTGAAAAAGCAAAAACGAAAAGTATTAAAAAGAGAAAGGCTTTGTGGAAGAGATGGCATTTTGAAGTAGACTTTAAAGGAAATGCCACATTTTGTTGAAAAGCAGTGAGGATGAGTGGACGTTCCAGAAACAGTATGAATTGTGCTACAAATACAGAAATATAAGGGATGTTGGAGAAACTGAAAATGAAAATTAGGGAGGTCCCCAGCACTGCCCTTGGTTCTGATACCAACTGGGAGTGTCGGGGGGCCCCCCAACTACTCTTAGGTGTGGTTGTTCACTAGAAAGATACATAATTGACTGAAAGCTGTTATGCTCTTGGTTACAGCTTATCAGCAGAGTGATACAGATGAAAGGTAGCAAGTGGCAGGGGAGAGGGGCATGTAGGGCAGAATCTGGAACTCCAAGCCTGAAGCTTCCAGTGAAGCACTGGACAACTCTGCTTTCAGCAACTGTGTGATAATACACACACAGAATACTACTCATCATGGAAATTCACTCGAGTCTTATTGTTCTGAGTTTTTACTGGAGCTCAGTCCCATGGACATGGTTGACGAACCTGTGTGGCTGACCTGTTTCCAGCTCCCGTGGAGGTTGAGCTGAAACTGCATAGCTCCAAACTAACAACACAACTGACTTTGTTAGCATAGACAATATGGTGTGATCCAAAGGCCTCCAGGTTAAAAACAAACAAACCTCCATGAAGAAGTATATTCCAGTGCTTTAGAGAATACCTGTCAGGAGCTGACTGCAAAGGCCAGGATCTCTCTTTGGGTGAGATTCTTTACTACACAGCAAGTAATACAATTTGACCAAAATGTAGGGCATTTGTAGGGGAGATAAAGGTTACATTTGGGGAGGTAAAACAGTATCGTGTTGTTGGCAATTAATGGAAAGCATTTTTTTTTTTTTTTTTGTAATGGAAAGCATTTGATGTAATGGTAGCTCTTTCTCCTTGGAAGGTTGACTAGAAGAGCTTGGAAGATACTGCTCATGTTTAAGAACTAACAAGGGCCTAATCTGGGATAGTAGTTGAAAATTAATCACTGTTCATTGATTATTGGTCTCTGTAACTATATGTCTAATGCATTTTTATCCTTAAGGGCCCAAATGGGTTTGGGGTTGGCAGTGTCTCTTAAATATTTTTCAGACTATGTCTGTGGTGCAGTTATCTGCAGCTCTTAGTGTCTCTTGCCTTTTAAAATCTTTTGCGCCTTCAGATCTAATTACTACAGTGATCTCTGACATCATGTATTACAGTTGTAATCAACTGTACATTCATTGTATTACAGTGACTTCTGACATCTTTTGAGTGAGAAAACGCTCATTAGCAGGGAGCACCCTTTTGTGAGGCTTGCTAATGCCAATGGGTATAGATAAATCAGGTTTCTAATTTAGGAGTTGTGATAGAAGATACTTTTCTCCCTTTGGCATTTTTGTTAGGTTTAGGTGAAAAATCAGTGCCAGGTAGTTCTAGAGAAGAATCTTGCAATAATTTTCTGTTGTTAGATTAGTTGGAATGAAAACCTTCAGAATACTCAGTAGGTGTATCCTTCCATCCCAGTTGTGGTCTAGACCTTATGTATTGCATTAGTTTTAGTGTTAGAAGCTTTTCTTAGCTTTGATCACAGTATGAGAAAAACTTGTTTTCTGAGAGATGTATGGACATATTGAAAATGTAATGAGTAGGTACTGTATATATAAAATGACAACTAAAATCTGTCCTTGTGTATCTACCTTCTAAAACCATTTATTGAGTCTAGTACCTATTAAGCTATATTGTTATGTGAAAAATAAAAAAATTACCAAACTATTAAGTTTGATAATTATCAGATTATCAAGTTCAAAAGAGTTCTGTAGATTGGAGAGTTCTGAAGCAGATTTTGAATTTATATAGCCATATGTCACTTAATGATAGGTATATGTTGAGTATATGCATACCTCCTAAATGGTGTAGGTTAGTCACTCTGTGTGTGACCTCTTGATGCAATCTATAGACAGGGAAATGCAAGATGTTTTAGGCTTCTGTTAGTGTGACCTGGCATAGTGTTTTACAGTAAAGGTTTTTATGAGTAGGAGTACAATCACACTAAAATATGTAATACATAAACCAGTAGCATCGTTGTTTATTGTCATTATCAGGTATTATGTAGTTTGGAGTTACATACAGTACATAATACTTATTGATAATAAGCCATATTTTATACTATTCTTTTACACTGCACTTTTGTACTATTCTGTGTACATCAATATCAACAGAGATATGTGAATAAAATAATGTGTTGTACTCCAATGCTGTGATGGCTATAATACCCTTGTGAGGCTAATGACTATTCTGTTAATAATTTAACAAAGGTGATTTAAGAGATGCCCAGTGATGACAATCCTGACAACCTTTCTGGTCAGACTCCTTGACCAGGCCTCCTTGGGTATGCTTACGTAGCTCACCCTTTCCACCTAACTTTTTTTTTTCAGTGCTGAGGATCTAACTTAGGACCTTGCGCCTGCCAGACGGGCACTTATGCCACTGAGCTATATCCCCAGGCCTCCTTTCCACCTAACTTGATGAGGCATGGCAGTGCTGATTAGAGTTTCTATCCCAAATGTTATCATATTAGTGGTGTGAGGAACTAAAAAGCAAGAGGGGGGTCTCAGTGGTGATGCTGTCAGTCGTTCTAGTAGCGAGAAGAGAATGAGCCTTGCAAAGCATAAAGGACAAGGTGACATGGCGGAATCTAGTAAATAGCACTTTCATGTTTTTAAGCCATGTCAATGTGTGTGGAAAATGTGACTCCATACACAAATTCAAGAACAAAGTGACCATTATGAAAAAAAAGGAAGTTGGATCAACTTATATACTAGTCTCACTGTGTCTTGCCTTTTGGCCAAGATCAAGTGCAAATTATGTATTAATCTTTTCCTTTTTTTTTTTTTTTGAGACAGGATATCACTATGTGGTTCAGGGTGGCCTTGAACTTACCATGTAGTCCAGGCTGGCTTCAAACTTGCGGCTGTCCTTTTGCCCCAGCCTCCCAAGTGCTGGGATTACAGGCCATGTGCCACCCATGCTTTGTTCTTAAGGGCATTCTTACAGGGTAAGAATTGTTAAAATTAGGTTAGTGCTTACCAAGGGCTTTGATATGTAGGCTTTCTTACACTCTGTAGTGTACACACGAAGGCTGCTTTATATTGAGGGTAGGGATAATCAGCCAAAGATCCAGATCCAGGTGATGTTCTCATGCATAGTCTCAACATTCCACTGAGATAAATGTGGATCCCTGAAGCCCTAGGTATTCTAACTGAGCTAGAACTGGGACAGTATCACTTCTGACATCACTTTGACCTCAGAAAGGACCTTTCTTCAGCTCCTGCTAAGTATGGCTAACCTGGTGAAAAGCTTTATTTTTCAGATATTCTGCCAATCCAGGTTTTATTTTCTGGTTACCTGTGGTTTTCTAGAGTTTTCTTAGAGGACTTAGCATAAATATAGTACTTTAACTATTTATTAATAGCATGTCTCTTTTCTCTCTTAAGCTGTGAATTTTTCCAGGGCAGACACAGTCTGTTTTGTTCACTGTATTCCCAGTACCTTGCATATAGGTATTTAAATATTACACACATTATTTCACATATCTGTGATCTGGGTCCCACAAAATTTAAAGAGCTGTGTGCCAGCTTGGCTTCCTCATAATGTGTAGACCACATCCCATGAGTGAGCACCTCAAGACAGTAAAACAAGTGCATGGCATTATTATGATGTAATTTTGGAAATCATATAGTGTTACTTTCTTCATACTATGCTGGTCAAAATAGTCTCCAGGTTCTCCCCAAGTTCAAGGTGAGAGAATATGGACTTCTCCACTTCATGAGAAAAGTATAATAGATTATAAAGAGAACTTGTGAAGTAGGAAAGATGGTATTGGTCATTTTTGAAAAAAGTGAGTTTATAGGTTTCATATTTAGAAAAAATGTTGGCTACTCAGGTATATTTTGTCTACTTGTAATCATTTGTTGAGACTGTGATGATGTGTATCCTTTTGATCTCTCAGATTTTGACTTTATTCAGATTCTGGTTCTCTCTGCTTCACTTTGGGTAGTTTGTACTGCTGTCTTCAGGATTAATTATGTTTTGTCCTCTCTAAACAATCTCTATTGTTAAGCCCATCTAATGAATTTCCTTTGGTTCTCTCTTTAGGTTCATTTTTCCCCTTTAAAATCCTTGAGCATATTCATAGTAATTATTTTAACTATGAACTTATCTGCTAATCTCGTTATCACTGACATTGTTGGAGTCTGCTTACATTAACTGACTCCCCTCTACTCTAATTATAGGTATTTTTTTGTTTGTTTGTTTGTTTTTTTTTTTTTTTTTTTTTGTTTTTTCTCCGGTACCGGGAACCGAACTCACGACCTTGCGCTTGCCAGGCAGGTGCTTTTGCCGCTGAGCTAAATCCCCAGCCCCTATAGGTATTTTTTTGTTTCTTGTCTAGCAATTTTTTTTTTTTTTGTATGCCAAGGCCCCATGAATGCTACATTGCTGAGTGTCTGGATTTTGTTTTCTTTAAATAATACTAAAAGTTCTTTGGGCAAATAATACTTGCTAATCAGCTTGATATTTTCCAAATGTTCTTTTAAGCTTTGTTACGGCAAGTTTGGAAAAGCTTTTGCCATAAGGCTAGTTTAGCCCAGCTACTAAGGGATGATTCTTTGAGAGTTCTGTTGAGTACCCCTGGTGTTCAAGGCCATCTCTGTTCTAGATGGTGGGAACTCATGTCCCACACTTGTATTAGCTCTGGGAATTGTTCAGTGTGCAATTCCAGCTTGCATTGTCTTCTTTGCCTGGCCTTGAGGGGTTTCACCTTCATATGTAGCCTTAGCATTCAGTGATTGAAGGATCTACGTGCATATTTCTGGAGGTCTTCCTTCGAGCCTTAAATTCCAGCTACCTCAGTTTCCCCAAATCCCAATCTCAATCTACCCAGTTCATTAAGACTGCACTGGCCTGGCCTAGCAGGTGTTTCCAGGCAGAAAGCTAGGCTGAACACAGGCTTACCTAACTTGTTTCTCTCTTCTCAGGAATCACAGATTACTCTCTGTTGTCCATTGTCCACTGTTTTAAAACCTTTTTGCAGGAGGCTGAGGCAGGAGGATTGCTGAGTTTGAGGCCAGCCTGGGCTACAAAGTGAGTTCAAGGTCAGCCTGAACTGCATAGGGAAACCCTGTCTCAACAGACCAAAAAAAAAAAAAAAAAAGTATCTTTGATCTAGTTTTCTAGCTGGTTATGCATGGTAGAAGGAAAAGTTCCCTACCAGTACTATAAGAAGTTGAAATATGAGTTTTACATACAGGATTTCCTTTTTCTTTTAACCATACAGCTTAGCTTCCAAATGTAAAAATGAACTGAAATTTAGGTTCGAGTTTCAACTTACCTCCAACTTGATGTATTAATACTGACAAATGCCGTTTCTTTGGCAGTTATAGCCAAATTGAACCAAATACAGTCCTATTCTCCCTACTTCTCAGGCTTTCCAAAACAAGCAAATCAAAACAAATTACAGTAAATAAGGATGAGGCTACAGTCACAGTTAGTTGACAAAACTGACTTTTTACACCTCTCTTGCCCACTTTCCCATTCTACACTCTAGTATAAAAAGGCTTGAGATCCAAGTGTGGCAAAATTGGTGCTGCTTCACTGCAGCAACGTGTATATAATTGAGTAATGGCAATGGCAAAACTAGCATTGATGTAAACTCAAGCTGTATGACTCTGGAGCCATGCTCTTAGCCATTATGTGACTCTTTGGAAATTACTGAAAATGAGTCAACTGTTGATGTAGAATCATTAATTACTAAGTTGGTCATAGTACACACTTTCAGTTCCAGTTACTCAGGAGACTGAGGGAGGACACTCGCTTGAACATAGGAATTTGAGACCAGCCTGGGCAACTTAATGAGGCCGTATCTCTTAAAAAAAACCAAAAAACATTATTCTTAAATCTAACACACATCATTTCTGGACCTCCTTTAATAAATGATGTTTGTTTAGTCAGCTTGATTTCTATTGGAAAGCATAAAGATTGTGCTATAGTTGGAATAGGTGATTCCTCAGAAAAGCACTATCAGGACAGCAATAAATGGTGGAAGATTATGTCCAGCACACACTATCTAGAGAAAGAATAGGATATAAGTGGAGACCAGAGTCTAGGGTGGTTTTGTCACTGGTGTTATTAAATCTCTTCTGTCTGGCATCTCATTTAATATTACAGGTTCTTGAGGGCCGGGGATTTAGCTCATTGGTGCAGTGCCTGCTTGGTAAGTGCAAGGTCCTGAGTTCGATTCCCAGTACCAAAAAAAAAAAAAAAAGCTTGTAATATTATAGGTTCTCTTATTCTATTTCTCCCCTTCTCAGACACATTTAAGTACACCGGGCACCAAAATGTTAACACTCCTTCCTCGAGAGAGAAAGCCTCTTTCTTTCCCTCAAAGAAGAATTCCATCTGCGGGCATTAAACAAACCAGCATTGCTTCCTTCATCTTGTGGCCAGGTATGGTGACCCACCTGGGGGTACTTCACTGTCCAGGGAGCAAAAAGGAGTGTTCATTTCTCCATGTTGGAACATTTATGAGACACAGTAAAACCACTGCGTTGTCAAACTTAGCTGACCTCCTGTGTTACAGAAACACAAGAAGTCATTGCTTTTTGGAAAGCAATATACACGTGCTTTTACCAACATACTTTTCTAGTTTTATTTTACTCAGTCTAGTACTAAATATTTGTATTTGCTGAGGGAGCAGTGAGGAAAGGTGTATTTGGGAGCTGTCTCGTAGGAGACTAGTTTAAGAGCAGGGTTCCTGCCAGTTGGAGGCTGTGGGAGGAGTGCTCCAACTCTGACTCAGGCTTGCTTTGTATAAATCTTCAGAGTGCACTGTCCCTTCCCCAAATAAAACATAAACTCTCTTTGCTTACATAACAGGGGAGAGATTTTTTTCAAAACACTTCCCATTTATATATTCTGGTATATCTTACAAGGTCTTTTTGAGACAAGGTCTCGCTGTGCAGTTCAGGCTGGACTTGAGCTCACTTTATAGCCCAGGCTGGTCTCAAACTCGCAAGGATCCTCCTGCCTCAGCCTCCCGAGTGCTGGGATTTCAGGCATGTGCCACCATGCCCGGCTATTTTATCATTTAATATTGAATTTTTAGGCAAAGTTGAGAACTCCCATAGAACAGTTTCTGCAGTATAATTCTTGTTGGAGAAGGAAAGAGGAAATTAATCATTCTGCTTCTTTGTGATTAGGTCTTACTTGATTTGGGTAGGGTGGGAATCTCATGTCATTCATCCTTAAGGCAGCACAGGATCTGTTCCATGCTTGATAAAATGGACAGACACTAGTAGTTGTTTTTAATATTATTGTCTTTTCTGGTTCCTTGGCATCCTAATTATGTATTCATTCCCTTTCCTATGAAATGTTTGAGGAATTGGGAACCTATGTTCTTTGTACTGTTGCCAAGTTTCAGAGTAGTATAGTTAATGTGACTTTTGAGACCTCACAAAACGAGTGTGTGTTGAGCATTTTTTTAAAGGAAAATATTTAGGACTAAACATTTGGCCAGGATCACTATTTAGTAGAAATTATAGTGAATAAAAAACAAGCTAAACTGATGTGCCCCATGTTAAGCTACATAAATGAAAATTAAGCTGGAAAAGTAGGCTGTAGTATGATGCCATGTTTGACTTTATTAGGTAGAGGTAGGCATGGGAAGCACCCATATACAGTATTTCATTAGGGGAATATAAGATCTTATTTTAGAAAGAGCATGAAAGAATAGGAAAGAATAATGAAATTGGAAAGGAAGATCAGCTATAAAGTTATTTGAAAAATCTTAAGTAATCCTGCCCTAGGTAGTAATACTGGCTGGTACTGACTTTAGAAAAAGCCAACTATTTTACTACATTGTAATATTTGTCCACTCCTATTTTACTAGGAATGAAAGAGGTTGATAACAAGAGAAGTGCTTCATCTCATACAGAAAGCCAAACCAACAAACAGTCCAAGAAAGATGCAACTCAGCTAGACTGCTTGATCCAGGACTTGGACAATGACTGCATAGCCTCCCCTCTGGCCACTTCAACCCCTGAAGACATCCAGGAAACTGGACTTTCTCCGAAGTCCCACAAGACTTCTGGCCACCACAGTGTGAGAAACCCATTTTTGACTATGCTGTCTTTGCCTCAACCTAATACGCTAGCCTGTTCTGGAAAGAGTAAAGCCCCACTGGCTCTTTCCTCTACTCAGGACTTGGAAAGTTCTTGTTTGCTGGACCAAAAGGAGGATTCTCCCAGGAAAAGGGAATGGTTTTATGGATCTGAAAAGAGCTACCAGGTCATGGAGCGACACATCAAACCACCTGGGGACAAATGCCATCAGCTCTTGGACAAAGCTAAATCAGAAAGGAAAGTGTCTGCCAAAGAAAATGGGCAGCCTTCTGTGCGCTTGCAAACTTGCAGAGAATCCTTGAGTAGAGAAAACGCAGAGTCAGTGAAACAAAACCCTTGTCTTGTTTCTGTGTTTTCTTGGGATAGTGACAAGAATGACAAAGAATCCTGGAGTCAGCTTTTCACTGAAGATTCTCAGGGCCAGCGAGTCATTGCCCACAACACCAGAGCTCCTTTCCAAGATGTAAGCAACACCTGGCATCAGGGCCTAGGGCATTTTCCAGCCAAGCCTTGGGCTGAATGCCAGGCTGAGCACACTCAACTAAATCTGCAGCCCGATTTGCTCCTTACTCAGGACTCTGAAGGTAATCAAGTTATCAGGCACCAATTTTGAATGTGTATATGAGGGTTTGGTTCTGAAAACATCTTCAAATGGTAGAATGTAGGAAAATACCTTTTAGGTGGAGGTGGGAGTTGAAGTGGGAAGGCAGCACGGGATTAAGCTGTCATTAACAAGCACTTTGTGTAAATAAAGCAGGCAACTGCCACTGGTTGAGACAGTGTGACTGGAATCATGCTTTTCCCTCAGGAAGGTGAGTGGTGAATTCCTTGAATGAGTCTGCGATGAGTACTGTGGAAGCAGGGCATGAACTATCCTTTTGCTGAAAAGTCCATCATTCAGCCTGTGCAGGGACCCCTCTTCCTGTTCAGATGCCTGGCTGGGTCTTTGCTTCTTTTCATCTGTGGCTGAAATCTTACCCATTCACCTAAGCTTGGAATCATTCCTCATGCTATTTTGAGAGATAAGGCAAATTCCCCAACCCAGGTGTACAGAGCTAGGAATGGGAGAGGAAACAGAATGGTGATAACCTTATTTTTTTGTTTGTTTGTTTTATTTTTCTGGTAACTGTGCAGCATTTTAAACATACACTTTAAATATCTCCCCTTAAAAATTTTGAGCAGTAAAACAATCTAGATGTGACTGATAATATTTCCTTCACAAGGTAGAAGGGAACTTGTCCTCCCTTTCTGGGAGGAAATCCCCTTTGTAAAAATTTTTAATGTTTATAATGCTGGCTCTGGTGGTAATTAGAACATTACCAATTTTTTTTTTTTTTTGGTCTTTTTGAGGCAGGCTGGCCTTGAGCTCACTTTGTAGCCCAGGCTGGTCTCAAACTTGCAATGATCCTCCTGCCTCCGCCTCCCGAGTGCTGGGATTACAGGTGTGCACTACCAATTTTATTTTTTGAAAAAGCAACTTTTTAATAATATATGTAGTGTCACTGCTGTGGGTTCTAACCTACACAGGAGTCTATTTGGCCTATGTTCTATCCAAGGCATCAGCCAACAGGTGCAGTTACTCATGTTGCAGGTGTGGTACCCAAGGCTTAAACAATCTGTAGGGGGCAAATCTGCAAGTTATAAGATGGAACTGCTTCTAAGAGTTTCGGGCAAATTCTCTTTAGAAACTCCCTGGAATTTTTTTCTTATTAAATAGCAGGACCTTATAAAGAAAGAGGGGAAGCCAGAAGCCTGTTTAAGAAAGTTCATATACTTTAAATTAACAGGAATCCTCTATTCCTAAGGGATTCAGGGTGACCACAACTCAGAAATGGACAAAGAAAATTTCTCCAAATCCTTCATTTAATGCCAGGTAGTGTTTCAACCCAAAAACACACAGTATACATACCACAGAGAAAGGGGCCCCAAGGGCATCTGAGTCATGCATGATGCAGTAGGTGCAAACCTTGGCCCAACCCAAAGAAGAAGTCATTCCAGGGCCTGGAAGAAGGATGGCATGTTCTTTCCCCTCCTCATTTCTCTCTCCTACTGGACTTAAACTAAAGTCCATGGAAGAAAAATTTTTTAATCAGTGGAACTGATGAGGCTTCATGGCCTTGGAGGGTAGATTTGGTTGTACAGTATTACAAAATATGCTTCAGAAAAAAACCACCTAGGCTTCCCAGTTGCAGCCCAAGTATTGGCTGGTCCAGTAGCCCGTCCTCTCCAACTACAGGGAAGGGGGATTGCTGGGCACTGGTGTAGGTTTATGATAGAGCAGTGTAAGATCTTCCTGCCTTGTGAACATGTACATAAACACAGTCCTTTCCCTAAAGCCCTGCTGTCCTATAAGGAAGCTGCTGAGAGTGAGTGACAGCTGGGCACAAAGTGTCTTGTGAGACAAGTTATGGGATCTAATGCAGTGAAGTCATTCATTTAGGACCTATTTTCACAGAGGGGTAAGAGAATACAAGAAACATCTATCTTACCCCATAAACTAAGCCACTCTACACAATTACCTGTAAGAAATGTCTCAGCTCAAACCACAGACCTTAGCTTTTGCTAAGGTTTGAAGCATGGAAACACATAATCCAGCTCTTCTCTTTCCAAGCTCTAGCGTGTCAGCAAGACTGTTGCAGAAGATTCCTAACTGAGAGGCAGAAACATCTGCGGTGAGGAAGGCAGCTATTGAAGAAATTCCAGGAGCATGAGACTGAGTTTGCAGGGTGGAGTGCTATCAGTTTCCTTTTCTACTGATATCTTCTTCCTTTAGAGCAAACTTCCTTCTTAGGACCTCAGAGATAAGCACAGCAGGGTCTTCTTCCTTCATTAAACTCCGGGTCCTAGAGACAAAACAACAGCTTCTATTTAGAAGTACTTGCTCGGACCCAGGCAGCACTCTGCCTGCGCACACTCTCACTGAATCCTCACAACAATCTTTTGAGGTAGGTTTTATTACAATGTAGACCCTCTCACTGATAGATAACTGAAGTACAGAAAGACATGCTGTTTGTCCAGAGTCACTAGCCACTCACCAAGAAAAATTAGTGAATCCAGACTTTAAAATCAAGATAACTGGTTCCAGATCTCCTAACTAGAATGTTTTACTATATCCACCAGTGGCTATAAAGTGTGGACAAAATAAAGGACCATCAACTTATTGGAGTTGGCTGGTAGTGGCTACACTTCTGTTTCCACTTTCTTTTCTCAGTAGCATTTTCTTGTAGGGTTTGCAGGGGAAGAGACTAAAGACTTGACCATTCTGACCCTTATTAGTTTTGGGAAAAGGTGTGCTGAAGATTTCCTACTAATTTGTCTACAGACTTTTTAAATAAGAGATCCAGAGTCAGCAACACATTCATATCATAAACTCTGGGGAACAAAATCAAAAAATCAACTCCAGGGGGCTGGGGATTTAGCTCAGTGGCAAAGCGCCTGCCTGGCAAGCGCAAGGTCGTGAGTTTGGTTCCCGGTACCGGAGAAAAACCAACCAACCAAACAAACAAACAAACAAAAATCAACTCCAGATTGGGGTAGAGTCAAACTACCTGATATATAAAGTGAGTCCTAGATACACAAAAAATAATTGAAGCTGTAGTCAACCTACATACATCCTTGCTATTTTACAGTCGTTAGGCCAGTGGTGGCAAACCTTAGAGCTTTCCATAAGACAGCCTGCTGTGCCACGCATGTCATAGGTTCGCCATCACTGCTTTTTAGGCAATAAATGAAGGCAAAGGTTGACTATTAAATCTTGAAAGTAAAATCAAGGAATTGCCTGTGGTCTATTAACATTTCTGAACCTTTGCTCACTGGGCTGTGTTACCATTTTTAGTCATTGTCCCAACTCCTCTATTACAAGGGAGAAAAGATTTCAGAGTACAAGTGGGAGGGAGGAGGGGCTTGACAATAAGGATCTTGGATACAGTTTGGTTCAAGAGGAAAGTAAGAGAAGTCTGAGAGTCAATCTATAAAACATTGTTCCCAGAAATATGCCTAAGGCAGAGCAAAGGCAGCAGCAATAACTGAATTTGGGGATGTAAGGTAAGTGTGACTAAAACTTGGTTTGGATCCTAAAGGATTACTGCCAGGAATCAGTAAGTTGCTTGCTCTCGTCTAGTTTTCAGAGGATAGTAAGGCCCAGAAGATAAAAATGAATCATTGTACAATATAATCTTCCCTTCAACAGGAACTTCATCAATTCTAGAGAGAGATCTCACCTCCAAGCCCTCTAACAACTTTCCCTGCATTAACAAATACAGCTGCACCAATTGGGTGGTAGTTATTTTTTTTTTCCGGTACTGGAAATCGAACTCATGACCTTGCACTTGCCAGGCAGGTGCTGTGCCACTGAGCTAAATCCCCAGCGCACCGCCCCCCCCCCTGCTTTTTTTTAAAGATAACTTTTTTTTTTTTCAGTACCAGGGATTGAACTCTCAACCTTGCTCTTGCCAGGCAGGCACTTATGCCACTGAGCTATATCCCCAGCCCTGGGTGGTAGCTATTAAAACCTGGATCTTAAACTGAAATGCCCAGGGATGTGTATTTGAACAAGCTCCTGTGTGAGCCCCAAAAAGAAGCTGCTCAGACCACACTTGGAGAAACACTGTAAGAGCTTTTCTGCTAGGTAAGTTTCTTGCTTCAGGTGCAGGCCTCCCCAAATTCCCTGACACTTCAATATAAATGGTTAAAGCTCTGCTACCTGGGGATTCTGCTTAACATGTATTTTTAAAAAATGGGAGCCGTTCTGATGGGCAGCCAGGTTAGGGACCTATTTATGAATTTTAAAAGCCTTGTCCTCAAATCTCAGAATTTGTCGGGTTTTGCATTATGGACCACCATGAAATTCTTCCACCAAAACCACCAGAGATATAAGCTGGAATAGATGAGCCTTCTTGTAAAATCCCTACTAGTCTAACTTTTGCCTCGGGTGACTTATCCTAATAAATGTAAAGTGTTGCTCAGACTAGGGGCACAGGCTCTAGCAAGCAGGTAGTTGGCAAGCTCTGTGAACAAAGTAACATGGCTGCTCTGAGAATTTACTATCTTAAGTTTGCTAGATCATTGGCCATGGGTGACTTAAATTAATCACTAGAGCTCCTTGTCAGTACTTACAGATCCTGGCTCTGTTTTATCCGGTGAAAGTCTTTCAGGATACCCATCATGTCTGCAAAGCTGCTGGCCTTGGACAGAGAGATGCAGTCATCCTCTTCTGATGAGCTGTAGGTAGCTTTGTGTTCTGGTTTACAACATTCGGGGCTGGCAGAACAAAGCAGGGGGACTGATGGAAGCTCAGGGACCTCTACCTCAGTCTCCTCGGTGATGTCACTAATGACAAAGGAAGTTGTAGAGTGGAATGAGGATCCAAAACAAGGTAAGGGAGAAGAGACATTTGAACTTCCTGGAGATAAGAAATCTGGCGTTAATGAAGTCGAAGCTGAAAGAGAAAACAATAGGCATGGATGGACATGGGAGCTGCAGTTTAGCAGTGATATCTTCTCCCCACAAGCACTGCCTACAGAACATACTCATTTCATGGCCTGACAACATGATGTTCTGGAAGAGTCCAGGATGCTATCTATAGCCAGTGTAGTCCCTCTACTATCCTTCCCAGTCAGGGGCTCATGAAGATGGACAAACATTGGGCTTTTCCAGTGATGGCCAAAGAAACCATCCTGTAAAGGGTCTGGCTCCTAAAAGCTCCTATTTCACAGTGGGCTATGGAGTGACAGCCGTGTTTTAAACCAGCAAGAGTGACAGAGGCAAGTCCTGCATTTGTCCTTTTCTCTGAGACAGCACTTTTAATTCTTCTTTGAGTTGAGCAAAACTAAAATTTTCGTGGAGAGAATTTCTACTATTTCTAAGAAACATTTTGAGTTTATATAAAGTACTCCTGTTTGTCTCTTGGATGACAAAAAAAAAAAAAAAAGTAGCCAAGAAACAGAAAAGGGAAATTTAAGTACAATACACTTCCACGTTGAGGAATTAAGAACATGATGATTTCAAAGAGAATAATAGGATATTTCTGCTTTACCAACTGATGAAGTTTGGGAGCTATGACTTTGAGGTGTTGAGCATGTTGGGAGAGATCTGTTGGCTGCCTCAGTTCAAGGCAGGCTCTCATCCATTTCTAGTGGTTCTGCCTTAATCCAAGCAGAAAGTTGGGGGACAGAGATTTCTGATAGAAAGGATATCGAAAGGGAAGTAAGTGCTTGAAAAGGATATGTCTTGTGGTGGTGGAAAATGCGTATACTGAAAAAGCTGTTGTAGGCTCATTGAATATATAATCTTATAGACACCAGGAAGAGGGCACTGGTTTTTATGCCTAAGGGAAGGAATCTGCCTGGGGTGACAGGCTAAGTAAAGATCTGTTTTTGACCAAACCATTCAGCCCAAAATGAAATTATCCAAGGACACACAGGTTAGCTGGGTCTCAGGACAACCTGAGCCTTGGATCCAAGTCTTTCTGAATCAAAGACCACTATTTCCCTTATCTCTATCCTGTTCAAAAGCCAGGGGTAAAAGGACAGCCTCTTACCTGCATCAGCTGCCACTATCTTGGCAATCTGGCTGCGCAAGTGGCTCAGCTCATCCTGCAGCTCAGTGGTACGGCTTAGGGCTGGCAAGGCTGGCTTCTTGAGGGCCAGAAGCCTCTCCTCAGACCCACGCAGGTTGGGCACTGAGGCATTGCGTTGCATGACAATCAGAGGGCTGGGCTTCCAGGTATGCCTCAGGGGGCGTGTATCACTCCTGAACCAGAAAAAGACAAGTATGTCTATCACAGACAAGCCATTTGCCAGCCCCCTCCCCGCCATCCCCAGTCCACAGCCCTCATTTCAATTGCCTTCAGCCTCTCACAAGCACCTTCCTTGCTGCTTGGCACTTTGGGAAGAGGTTCCCTACCCTACCCTCTAGTAAACTGGCTACTGCCTTAGCTACCTGACCCGGGCATATGTCTCCTCTTCATCTGCAGCAATCCAGGCAATGTCAGCCAGAGTAGGGACCGGGGGCACATCTCTCAAACACAGGTCAGAGATGTTGGGCAGGGTCTGTGAAGAAGAAAAATTCCTTATTTATCGAGGGTCTTCTGGTCTGTGTTACCTTTTAATAGTGATGGCTGGTGTCTAAAATCATTTTGCCCTTTGGTTATCAAAATATAAGTCATATAGAACTTGTTACATTAACAAGAAATTTTTCCTGGCTAACTCTTAAACCCTTATAGTTAACTGAGTTGGTTTGTTTTTTGAAGCTGGGGATTGAACCCTATAACTAATTAAAATCTACATTGTTACAGCCCTGTTTTAAGAAAACATAGTAATCTGAATATTTAGATTTATTTTTATGTATTTATTTTTGAGATAGGGTCTCCCTATATAGTTCAGGCTGGCCTGGACTCATTATGTAGTCCAGCCTGGCCTTGAACTCACAGAGATCCTCCTGCCTCAGCCGCCCGTGTGCTGGGATTATATGTGTGTCACCATGCCCAGCCTGAATATTTACATTTAAATAACAAGAAATCATTAATTATACAAAAGCAACCATAGTGGGAGCTCCTCACCTCAAAGAACTACCACCAAGGAACAGAACAACTAAGTAAATGATACCATATTAAATGAAATTAGGAGGATTCAATCATATGCTGACTGATTAAAACAAAGTACAAAAACATGTATCTAGAAAAACAGGAACTGCATGAACTGTCAGGACTGTGATTATAGGTAATTTATTTTGCATTTTTATTCTCCATAGTTTAATATATCGTATAATTTAAATAATCTATAAGATTTTATTAAATATTTACAACAAAAATCTAGGAATAGTTAGTAAAACAATACACACACCTATACATAAGTTAAATACAAATGTTTCTGATACAGATTGGGAGGTGTGTCAGGGGTTAAAGAACCTAGGACTCAGGAGTTAAGTGATAAACGACCGTCACACAGAGGAGGATTTCTCCTGACCCAGGAGTTACTGCTAAGATGGGCCATTTCAGGGAAGCTTCCATTTGCTTTCCTGGATTAGCTTTGACTGTTCTACCACTCTTATAAATTAAATGCGTTAAACACAGATAAGTACTTAGCACAGTGCCTGACACAGAGTATGTGATTAGTAAATGTCAGCTATACAAACTCCTGCTCTGAGGAAGCTTGTGTCCTTGATTGTCTATTCAGAAGCATCTGGCCAACAGACTAGACTGGATAGTCTGCAGTCAAGTATAGGGGCAAATTCCATGGAGTCAGTCATACCTAGTTGTATCTTTGTTTCTGATGCTTCTGAGGCAGCTAGGACCCCAACCTGCCCATGCCCCTTAAGCAACTCTGAATAGTTGGCAATCTGGGTCATGGGACAGGCCCCTACTGAGACACAACCTTCAGCCCCATTCCTGACTCTAATATCAATCCTAACACCACTTCAATCTCCAGATCCAGTCCCTTAAAAATTTGTAGTTAGCCTCTTATATACAAACTCAGTTCCTTCGCTTCTGTTTCTACCTGGGCCAATGTCTTTTCATACATATGTTTGTCTCTTTTGTTTAGGCAGAAAGTTTAAGTATTTTACATCCCAGCTTCCCAAACTCAACACACCCTAATCATTTAACCCAGAGCTGATGCCTTACCACAAGTTCCTACAGGAAGGCAGTGGGCAGCTACACAGTTCTCTACTACAGAAGTGGATCTCACAGACCTGTACCAGGCAGGAATCTCTGCTTCCTGGCCCCAGAGGTATTCTGAAATAGCTCAGTAAAGGAGTGGCCATATTTGGCTAGAAAGAGGAAGGGGGCTTGAGGACTCAGAGAAACACTAAAAATAGTGGCTAAGTGGCCAACTCATAGGGTTAGCAGGAAAAGCAGAGTTCAGCTCAAGAGTCACAGTATTCAGTGTCCATATAGGGACCTGCTAGGTTGCAGGCAAACACCTCAGAGCAGAGTCACTTAACAGAAAGAAACAAATAAGAGATACAAGATTATTAATTTATGAGCAAACTGGAAGTCTGACTGTTGTGGTCAGGGCTTATGGTGGCCAGGATCTATTACACGCTCTCAGTAAATACTTGACAGAATGAAAAAGTGACCAGGAAAGCAGGCTGCACTGGCAAATGCCAAGAGGTCTGAGGCGCACAAGCAGCCCTGTCTTCACACACCCTTGGGCCTCTACTTTCTTTGCCTTTCCAGCACACTCACCTCAAAGGATGCCCGGGGACATGGTTTCAGGGGTAGGTTGGTCCCAATTCTTCTCACTACACTTCGAGAAGATCCATGTGGCTTATTTTGCCAGATTGGGATAGTCTAGAGCAAAAAGACAGAGACGGTCACATCTTCAGGGACAGTGATTCCAACTACTGTTTTTGTGCTGTCCTCTTCAGCAAGGAGAATAAATTCCTCACTTCCAAGGACAGGGCCCCCTCTGGGAATAAATCAAGTCTCAATTATGAGTGAGGGCAGGTTCTCAGGTTGCCAGCCTTCACCTGCTGCTGCTAAGGTAGTCACTCCTGGGAGGGCCCAGTGAAAGGCTAGCAGTTAGTTGTTTGTAGGGACCATTGGGGCTTCTCTCTGCACAAAAGGCAGAAACATACTGACTTATGAACAAGATCCCAGTAGGTTCTTCCTGGGAGAGGAGGTGGAAGGTTAGCCTTGCTCCAATTCCAGGATTCCAGAGGAACGGAAGAATGAACCAGTCTCAGGGTCTTGTACAGCACTTCAGCAGGCCCAGTGCTCATTGATCCCACATTCCTTATTCTGGCCCTGGGAATACCCCTTACCACATTGGCTTCCATTCCTGATACTTCAACCAGCTCCTGCACCGGAAGCACAAGGCAGCCTCAGGGCACCTTGAAGAGGCCGGAGGTGGTACTTCATATCAGGCCATCTTGAGAACACCAGATTTCCCTTCCTGTGAAACAAGCCGCACAGTGGGGACTCAGTAACCAACACATCAGCCCACAAAACCAGCCCCTGTAGACATCTGAGACCTCTGACGTTTCATAGGGGAGGAAACCAGCCTACAAGGCTGCCCTCAATACTGACTTACCTGGGTTATGTTCTTTCTAGACTTGCTGGGTAAGCTTGGCCAACCCAGGGAGACTTCCAGATCTCTAAAGTTTCCTTAGGCAAAACTTCAAAAGACTAATGCACAGCGGTGCATGTCTATAATCCCAGCACCCTGGGAAGCTGAGGCAGGAGAATTACAAGTTACAGCCCATCTTGGACAATTTACTGAGACCCTCTTTCAAAATAAACAATAAAAAAGGGCTGGAGATGCAGCCTAGTGTGAATACTTGGGTTCCAAAAAAAGCTGGGGGGGGGGTAAGGGGTGGGGAGAGAACTCTTGGTAGCTACAAAGCTCATGGGAGAGCCAAACTGAAGGTACTATCTAAGTCCAGTATTCCTTCTTGAAGATGAGACACAAAAGCACAGTATTTGCCATCCAGCCTAGCAGTGCTGGGCCCCTACAAGGGGTAAGAATCCACAGCCAGCTCATACTAACTCAGTCTACTGAGCTACAAGAGCTAATTTCCCTCCCACCCTCTCTTTCTCCTGGCTTGATCACCTGCTGGCTTTTGTGGCCATAGTCAAGCGTTATGGAACCTTTCAGAATGTTGGTTTATCTATAAAAAGGAGACAGGAAAAACTGCCACTCTAGGTTACCTTAAGGGTCAGTGAAGTGGGTATTTTAAGGTGCTTAATGAAATTTAAAATATGACACAGATGGGGAGTCAGTCCTGACTGCTCTTCATAGCTGTCCTTGCATGGTGAGCAAACACAATCAGTGAGCTCATGTGTACTCTGGTTCCTGAAACCCCAACAATACTTTAGTACCAGGCCTTGTGCTGGATATTGTAGGGGTTATGAAAGAGTAAGACAAAGTCATGCTTTCAAGGAACTCACAGTGCTGCAGAGAGGCAGGACCTGGACACTTTATTTTAAGGAAGGCTGAGAATAAGGCATACTAAGCAGGTGGCCAGGTAAGTTCAATGCCCTGATCCCATGATGGGTTCAGAGGCAGCAGGAAGGCAAGAAAAACAGCAGCCTGAGCACAGGTGCAGCATAGGAAGTCGAGGGATCTGTAAAGGGGCAGAAGATTAGAAGGCTGTAAAAACAGACAAAGGTGGACTCGGTTGTCAGACAGGCAAGGAATGCTGGGTGAAAAGTCGCTGGGGGGCCTGAGACTGGACCAACAGCTCTCTAGAGACCTCCCCTGGAGTGTCCTCCTTTTACCTCGGGAGAGGAGGGGTCATTTTAGGAAAAGGGAAGATGGAGAGAGAAAGGATTTGTCTCAGGTCACTCAGTGGTCCTGCAGTGAAGAAAGCACCAAATGTCAGGTCCAGATTCTGCCGCCTCTGGCACAGGCTCCATCTTTTCAATTCACTCCCCGCCCTTTATCAAAGTCGCCCAGTGTGCCAGGCTCCGTGCTGAGTGGCAGTGCGTGTGAGAAGTTCACTCCACGGTGCTGTTAGCCACTCCCGCCGTGCCTCCCCTCCAAAGACTCGGCTCGCCTAACCCTCCGGACACAGCCGCTGGTATCTTTCCAAAGCCCACTGCTAATCATCTCGCTCCTGCGTTTAAAACTGGCTTGCTAGGGCCAACAGGATAAAATCTGGACTCCTGAGTACGGGCCGAGGGACCCTGCACGGTGGCCAGCCCCGTTCTCCCTGCCCTCTCTACGCCAAGCTCCCGGCAAGTGACGAGGCCTGCAGTCGGGCTTCACATCCACTCCGCCTCCTCCTCCGCCCTCTGCCCTCCGGCCACGCTGGCCGACCAGCCCTCCACACGCCACCTCCGCGCCCCTGTCCCTACTCTTGCCTCCGCGGGGAACCGGCACCCGGGCCCAAAGCTCATCCTTCCTCATCAGAGCGCTGCTCAAGCGCCCCGCTCCCACCCTGCGACAGGGTCAGGCCCTTGCTCTTCACGTTCGCTCCCCTTCCGAGGCCGCTCGAAACAGAAACTAAAGAACTCCGCGGCGCGCGGCCGATCCCGAGGCCGCGACTCCCCCGCGCCGGCCGCCCGCGCGTGACCTCCGTGGACTTCAGGGGGGAACGGACAAGTTCCTTCGCCGCCCGCCCCACGTGCCAAAAGGCAGAGGGCTCCCGGTCCCCCGGGCCGCGCGGCCGTTCGGCGCCGTCGCGCGCGGTCTCCGCAGGAGACGCGGGCTGCCCCGGGGCAGGACCTC